TCTCTGTCACGGTCTATGCCGTGTATTGGATTTCTCTGTCACGGTCTGTGATGGGTATGTGGAACGATAGGATGAGAAAGAGATGTTATGACAGACTGGAGGAGTAGCTAGCCGCTACTCGGCAATGATGTTTATTAGCTACTTCACATTTCCAGAATGTGTCTCTTGCACATTCAACACAAGCTTATATATGATAGAGAAACAAAGAGAGAGGCGATACAGAGAGAACAATTGAGAGAGGAAGAGCAGTGAGTCGTGACGTATATATCGGCACAGTATGAATTTTCTCTGTCACAATGTGCGGGGGGGGGGGGGGGAGTAGGTCCAAATTTCTGCCCTATACATTTCAACACTCCTTTTAGATCGTGTTTCACAAAAAGAATAGAAAATATAATAATAAATATTTTCGATAATATAATATGAAAATGACAATTTGGAAATTATGTTGAACAATAAGGATTAATTGGCAAATACATTAGAGGAACATAAACAACTACTAATTGACAGATCCAAGCTAATCTGTTTAAATCATCGAGATACATATATGTTTATTGAGATAATAATATAAATCACATCATATCATTCTTGTTACATTGGAAATAATGATCTTGAATGAAATAAAATCAATAAGATTGATTATATTTTAGTGGTGAAATCTGAAATCGATTCATGTCAAAGATCATTTCTTCATTGTGACTCATTGGTGATATTCAGAATTGTTGTGAGAGCATCAAGATTAGAAGGTGAGTGTGAAGAAAATTTTCATATAAGATAAACTAAAAAATACTTCTAGAATATACTGTTAACTCTCAGAAGACCAGTTTTCAAATAATCGAATCTATAAGTTCTGTAATATAGAGAATGACAATGTAAATATTTTATATTTTAGCTTCATCAGAGATTGCAATGGCAAGTTGTATTTTGAAAAATTTTGCGAATCTCAGATGGTGAATATATGAATGCGAAGATCAGAAACTTCTCTTTACTTATATCCACACAACGACCATACAGAATGGTTGTTTTTCAGATTAGTCAATTTTTCTTAATAGATTTTCAAGAAGTAATTATTGATGATGTAAATATTTTTTTTGGAGATTATATACTGGCAAAATTGTAAATGAAAAATCTCTCAGTATTTACAGTATATACTTCGACTGTGATTCATTGTTTTCTTGAATTTAAAATTTTGTGCCTGCAAAAACACGTGATTATATTGTAACAAATTTTTTTCTTGTGTCACCTTATTACAGCTGTGCACATCTCTCATTCATGGAAAGAATACGAGTTGTTATTACAAATACTATTGCGTTCGAACGATGATGATGCATTCGTTTCGTTCGTTATCGTTCTTCTTTGACGCAGACTCGCATTTGTTTGCACAAACACACTTAAAAATGAATGATAAAAATAATCTTTCATTTAGTAGCAAACAAGACATATTCGCATACAGAACAACTTATCAAGTAACAAAAAAAACGTCTATCAGCAAAGAAAAAAAAGAAACAATTTCTATTTAACTAAGAAGACGAACAATTTTTTTCTTGCAATTTTTCTGTCCTTTTTACAATATTATTGAAACTTTTTAGACGAACTAACTAACAAATGGAAATTGCAATTCATTTTCATTTATTGTATGATCATCGATCGATAAGCAGTATATGGTTAATAATTTTGTGTTTGTAAGACGAACGAAATAGTAAATAAAGACAAGAAAGAAAGAAAGAAATACGGCAGAAAATGGTAATCTTTTTTCTGTTGCATGCCATTTGACTTCGTACGTAGTATGATTATGAGAAGATAACAGCTAGACTAAGACAAGCTTAAGCAAATACGTATTGATGATATAACAGTAATGGAAAGTTATAGAACATTTTAACATTGACATGACCATGATCATCTTTTGAACTAGTCATAGTTGTACGAGTGCTATTCAGTATTCGCATTAATTTTCATTTGTTCTATCTTAGCCAAAAAAAAGAAACAACCATTCACAATTGAGTAACATTATTGATCAACTGCATTGAGTATCTTAAATTCAGCAATCTAAAACACATCACTTGAAGCTATGTTACAAATGTATAGTATTTGAATGAATTTTGCTGAGATTTAATCATACTCTTTGTAGATAATTGATTCACATTAAAACGATTAAGATTATTTGACTGATATTTTATCAACATATTCTACTAATCTTCACTAAACTAGAATCTTATAGGTGTTCATGTGAGAGTTCAACGAAAATGAACATATATATCTTTTTTGCCACATAGTCAATTTTCAAATAGGTATCCATTACTGGTTCATTCTATGATAAACTCTTAGTTTTCTCAAACAAATATTCAGGTCAAAACTTTCTATTAAGATTTTTCGTGCTTCAATCGATGCTTAAACATATCCATAATATGAGATGGAATGGCGTCTAATATTTGAATGTATTTCATCATCAATTATGAAAACGACTGTCGTTTTTTCTTTGCATAGTTGATTGAATAAAAAGTAAACATGTCAATTGAGTTTGAATTCGAAGATATTCGGTTGACTAACGAAGGAAGAACTACTATTGAAACTCAGTCGAACTATTGAATTTCCAATATCTTTACTTTGTCAGAGGCTTCTGTGGAATTTCAAACTGACAGAAATTTTTTTTTTGCGTTAAGTCTTCAGATCTTATATATAGTGGTAGCTTTTCTCGGATTAATCGACATATTATGAATTCAATAGTTTCAATAAATTTCAATAGTAACTCAAATCCATTTAAGACTTTCACCACTAGATACTATGCAGCATTTACAGGCGATTTTTTATTGATTCATCTGATCATGAAGACGGTTAAGAAATATTCTGAAAATTGGACACCTTATATTGATTCTTATATACGTGATAATGAAAGTGATCATCATGTTGTGATCGATCATTAACAAAAGTAATTCTTGTTGTTAGTAAAAAAAAACCTTCTTGAATATAAACCATATCATCGTGTTGACTTTTATTTTTATAAATGAAAATCATTGCATTCAACAAAAAATAAGTATGTTTGCTTTTTAATTTATGTAAACAATAATCTTTCCTATATTGTTTTAAACTTAGATAATTTATATTGATTCATTCAATAATCTTTGATTTACAATATATCCATCGAATAATAATAATGATCTAACAAAACTCCCATACCGTGTTTATGTATAATATCGAATTATTAATACATAAAAACTAGTATATGTTTATATTTTCTCATTTCAGTCATGTGTGTGTGTATATTTTTTGAATTCTTCTTCGAATCATTGTATGTCTGATAGGCACATTTTTCGATTGTTTTCTTGTTGTACTATTATAA